GGCCAGAATGCCACCCAAGATTCGTTTTCACTTAGGACTCTTACTCTGTGAAGTATCCTGACGTCAATCCAGAAGACTTCCTCTGGCACCCCCCTGATCAAGTGATTCAGCTGTGTTCAATACAACATGTTTACCAACACCTCCCCCGGTGTAACTGATAGTACTTGCCCCATCCGGGTTGCATCCCCCTTTAACACCACCCCGCCGAAGAGTCCGTACCCATGCGAGCGGGAGAGCAAAGAGGATCTGGTATAGTCTTTCACTCTTTGTGTGACAATGAGGGAGTTTCTCTCTCAGCTGCTCCTCTGAGAGCCAGTCATTCTTTGATTGGTCTCATAGGTGTCCAACTCTTGTGATCCCATTTTTCACCCATCCATTCCATGGGCGACATAAGCTGAGTAACATCTGCCCATGTCGATCCGTTATCCAACGATTCTCGAAAAGTGGTTGGCGAGCAACTTTTTCCCACCTTTTAGGAAATGGTCTATCCGGAAGTGGGAGCCTCCTCCAATCCTTAATCAACTTAGCCCCAGAAGTCATCTTTTCGCAGGTCCCTGCGGGCTGCTCCCCGATCTAAGTGTTGTTGGGGTCTGGAGAGGGGGTCTACGGCAAAGCCAAGGGGGGGTAGCCCCGCCGGGCTCCCAGCCCCCCGGCCCCTTCGCGGCGCTCCCACGCTGCCGTCGCTCTTAGTCTCGATCCTGCACTTCCGTATCCTGAGCCCAAAGTCGTAACCTATAAGGCTAAGCCCAAGCCTGAGACCAACGCGCACTAATTTCTATATGAGGCGGCGTGCACCGTGCCCCGGGTCAAGAAAACGCTTTGGGCCACACTTCTACCTACATTCCGGACTACGACTACTTAACCGCCACGCCGGCGTACCCAAGTTGCGTCGTGGTTATCACACACGCCCCATCCTGGGCGCCAGACCTACTGTCGGTTAGGCATGGAGAACAAGATTCAACCTCTTAATCTTTAGTCTAATCAGCAACCAAAAAAAAAAAAAAAAAAATCACACGCGCGCCTTAAACTGCGCACCCACTCGCCCTCTACTCTAGTCAACCATCTAGTCAAACATCATCCACAGACCCAACCGCGCCTCATGCGATATACTTAGACTTTAAACCAAACTTATTTATGTCATCTGTAACGACCAGGGCGGATACCCTTGTAAGGGTATTCGCACCGACAACTTACGAGACCATATTAAGCGACGTCCCCGTCGCTTCGCAAAATAAAAAAGTTATAAGTTTATCCAAAATTCCAAATGTTGACAAGAAACGGAACCAATCCAAATAGCCGACAGACTCAGGGTTGAGGCCTCCAACAATCCAAACCCTTATAACTATATGCCGCCAAGGTTCCAACCTGGGTCTCCATTGTCCTTACACTAGGACGCAGGTGTACTGGACATACGTACTACAACATAAGTCTCAGCGACCCCTCTCAACTGTCCTCTCCCCTTCGTCCTAGACAAACGCCGGCTTCTCGTTATGTGTCCTTAGTCTCAACCCTGCGAACAGGGCCATAACCAAGGATGTGGGCCCTAACCGAGACCCTTGAAGGCACTCTTTCCGCCCTCTAATAATTCTCACAATCAAACATATATATATATATATAAATCTTATCTCAACATACCTTCTGCAGTCTAGTACAGGAAGGCTAGGTCTCCATCTTGGCCCACCACAGTCTGGGTGATCGTGCCAGATCTACGACCCACCTCGTTTGTTATTTCAGCGGTAGTGCCCTCGCGGGTTGCGCCACGAGAGGTTTTTTCTCCTGATAAGTATTCAATCAGGACTCGAAAAGACTCCACTCTTATCCCACGTCATCCCGCGGCAGGTAAAACCCTCCTGGGTGGCCACACCCGTTTAAGTCTTTACCCCCTTCTGGTGAGACGTGGGTCTGCTGTCAGGTTGCGCCGATCAGCAGCCAACACTGAGGGTTGCGCCTCAGTGATGCCAGTTATACCCTTAGCTGGATCTCTCATAATGCCCCAAAAATTAACACAAGTGGCTGGACGGTGTGTCGCAACAACACAGGCCTACTGCGGAACTACGTAGAGGTCCGTCACACATAAAAGGTATTTACCAGTCCTCTGTGGGACAACACAGAGAAGCACGGCAACCTCTCCACTTTCACAAAACAAATCACCGCCAGGCTCACAATGTCGTTGTAGCAGCCGTACCCTGAAGAACTTTCGAGCCTGGGTCGACCCCATTGCGGGTCCCATTTGGCTCGACCCGCCCACGCTCAAGCTCAGGGCGCAGGTCGTTCGTCCTAGGGGCACCCCCACCTAGTGCTATGAGATGGATGGGGATGGGCCATTTGTGAGAGGGCTTTACATTGGGGGATGTAGCTCCGCTCTCGTATTAGATGGTAGCTTTTTGGTCATTCGTGGCGGTTTTCTTGATTCACTTAAGTGAGGTCAGACAATTGCTCCTTCCAATACTTATGCAGTCCAGGGGGTTCAGATTAAAAGATCTACAACCCAGATCGGGCCAAATTCAAATTTGGAATCAGCGCCCGACCCCCTCCTCCTCCCAGTTTTTTCCTTCTTCTTGTTTCTCCTCCTCGTCCAAAAGGGCCCCGCAAATATTTAGCGGGGTGTCCATACGTGTGGAAGGACATCCATTGGACTGCTGTAGGTCTTCGAGCAGGCCAACATTATATCCTAGATTCGGATTCATGTCTGTGTTTCACGAGTTATAGGTTACGAGCTTACTACAAACACTAAAATAGTTGTCTCATTTTTTTTTTCCTTTTTTTTACGTGCAGTGGCCCTAAGGGCCTGGCTCCACTCATCAGCACTTGTAGAAAAGAAAAACAGATGGCTTGTATGCTTCCATTTTCTATGAGAAGATTCATTCCAGTTTTGCACATACAATAACTGTCTCGTTTTTTTTTCTTTTTCTTTGTCTTACGTGCAGTGGCCCTAAGGGCGTGGCTCCACTCATCAGCACTTGCAGAAAAGAAAAACGGATAGCTTGTATGGTTCCAGTTTCTTGGAGAAGATTCATTCTAGTTTTGCACATTTGGTGACTAGTGGAGTGAAGCCCTGAAAATCACACGCCAAGTTAGTAAGTCAGTAACTCATAACTGCTGAAACACGGACCTAAATTTGAAGCTACACCATATATAACTGACCGACTCCCTCCTTACTACGAATCCGGTGACGGCGCGTCCAGTGACCACCCATCTCCTGCCGACAGGACTCTTGCCAATTTTTGGCAGGACCTTTTTAAGTACAGGCAGGGGTAGTCTGAATAATGTGAAAGGGCTTTGTGTTCTCTCTCTCTCTCTCTCTCTCTCTCTCTCTCTCTCTCTCTCTCTCTCTCTAACGTGTATACACCTAGACTACCAGCCGGGCCGCCCGGGTCACCATATTTTCCCGGGCGGCCCGACGTGCAAGGACCAGGGAAGGTCCCAACCCAAAAAAAAAAAAAAAAAAAACTCCAAAAAATCCGAAACAAAACTATGCTATGCGTAAAAATAAACAAAACAATTTTTGCCTCAGGGTCACATCGAAATTCTTTACAAAATTTAAAATATAATTTTAAATTGAAAAATAATTTTATTTTTTTATTTTTTTATTTCTTTTTTGCCAGGCCGGGCAAGTGGACCCGGGCCACTCTGGTAGCCTAGGTATACATATATCACGGTTGCTTTCTTTGTTTTTGTTTTTTTTTGTTTTTTGCGTTAATGCGTTTGCTCATGTGGGATTAGAGCACTGCGCACCACACAGCGACCTGAGCAGCGCACTTCATCTTCGCGCCTCAAATATGCTTCCCACCCTCTTCCCCACCCTCGACACCTTTTTTATTTTTTTGCTCCGAATGACCTCAAAAAATTTTTGGGCGGTCCCCTGGTGGAGCGCAGCCACCCCTCATTTCTTTGTTTTTTTTTTGCTTTCCAGATTTGAAAAATATGAGTTGTCGGGGATCCCGGACAACTCCGCACAGGATGTCCACCCAGGATGTCCGGCCAGGACAACCGGCCATCGGACAACTAGTAGCCTAACTATAAGCTCAATTTTTCATTTTTTTGTGCATCTGGTTCTCTTTTTGGGCCAAATGCACAGTCTCATATTTTTTCCTCTTCTATTTCTTTCCATTTTGGGTTGCCACCTCATTCCGGAGCTAGTCATTGAGCTGGTCCACAAAAAACGATTATCTCCTCTCCACCATGAGATCTGATCTTAGATGCATGGCCCAAAAGAAAACCGACCTTTTTCTTTTTGCATTTTCTCTCGTTTTTGCCCTTTTTTAATTCAGATATTGTGGAGATATGGCCCCAAGGGTCATATCTCTGCAATCCGGGATGCGCTCGTTGGATCTATGAGGAGTGAGGTCACCATTGGGATCTGCCAGTCCCTACTGCAGCAGTCCCAATGGACCTGCATATTTTCCTCCATCCGCTTATCTTGTTTTGTCTCATTCTCCCTCCATTTTCTCTCCTTTTTCCATGGTTACGCCGAACCCGGACTCGGACCGGACCGGACCCGAAACCGGACGCACGTCCGGACCGTACCGGACGTCTGGAATTCCGGACATGGTCCGGACCTTCCGGACATAGCGGACGCGGACGGTCCGGAAAAAAAAAACGGTCCGGAGAAAAAAAAAAAAAAAAAAAAAAAAAAAAAAAAAAAAAAAAAA